CAGGCGCCCCTAGTTAGCTGATATTCTTTTCCCTAATTCTGTGGATGAAACTGAGCTTCAGGTAATTGAGATGACCGTGCCCAAAGCCACAGTTGTGAAGTGGCACAATGGGACTGGCACCCAGGTCTGACGAAAGTGCGTAAAGAGATGCGTGAGGAGGATGTGTGCTGGTGTGGAATTTATTGCCGTGGGTGTGCTTACTATTTAGACGAAGATCTGTAAGCCATTTGCATAAGGGCTATTCTGTTCCAGTGGCCAGGGTCCACGCCCGCTCTCAGCTAGCATCTGACCCTCAGTTCTGTAAGCAGTCGTCTAGTGCTATTTGTTCATGTCTACTAGTGTAAAACGGTGCAGAGGAGGAAGGAAGGCAGTTCGGGGCACATTTGACCACCATGCTTGATGGGAACAGTTTCTCTTCTAATCGGTGATTAATATGCCTCTCCTGATGTTACAAATCCATCTCTGTTTCTTTATTTGCCTTTTCAGGGGGTCATGAAGAATCCAGTGTCTCTTGGATGTTCTGCTCTATTAGGCAGGCAGAGAGAAACTCATTTTGGCATGAATTAGGCAGCAGAACAAACCCTTGCCATGTGGTCGTAACCTGTCACAACCTGGTTTTCTCTGGCCAGATGACTGGTCTTGTCTAGTAGTAATGCCATTACAACATTCCCATTCAGATCCCCATGACCCAGTAATTGTTTTGGGAATGAGTGCAAAGCTATCAGACACCAGCTACTATAATTAGAAAAGGGAAAAACAGACACTTACCAGAGCTAACGTCTTTAGGCTGGAGCATTTACAGCACCTTTTTTTTTTTTTTTTTTTTTTTTTAAGGTTATGGAGCCTCCTTCTCAGTTTTGCTTCCTAAAATACAAATTCTACAGTTTTTGGGTTCTTGCATTCCAGTTTTTGTTACTGCAGTGCACTCTCTTTCCTTTTCCCCCCTATTTTAATCGGAGTACAAATTGCTGTCAGCACATCGAGTTCATGTGCCAGCCACATTCAGAACAGGGTGTTCTGTGCTCTTCAAAACAAAATTGCTCTAGGGCAGTAAGAGAACAATAAGTCAGAGCTCCAGTTTAAGTGATGTTTTGCAGCAGACCCGGCTTACTTGATGTGGTTACACTCGGATTGCGCAGCAAAGCTCGGGTAATTTCATTTGGTTTGACTTCATGGGGAGTTACGTAGACTTTAAGTCAAGGGAAAATGTTCCTTTTTAACTTGTGTATTTTTTTCTTTACCAAAAAGGCCCTAAGTAGAAGCATCCTGTATGTACTTTTATTCTCTTTGGGCACGTCATAGATCATTTACTTCCCGTAAATCATGCTGGTTGGAATTAGCAACAGACCTCCTGAGCCCTAGAGGCTGAGCTCCCAGTGAGTCATGATGGTTATTATTAAATATTTATTAAGTGAGTATTTGCACTAAGAGATGCAAGGTCAAAAGCAACCACAGGTCTTCCTTCACCAGAGCTGCCACAGTTTTCTTTGGTACCAATTGTTGAGACAATTAAAAAAAAAAAAAAGAAGAAGAAGGCACTGGCTCTGTAGGAACCAGGCAGGTTTGCTTCTGTCACCGTGAAGGGGCCCTACAATGGCAGGCCGTTCTGGGGTTTCTGTGGCCCCCTGGGTGGTGTATGAGTTCTTGTCAGCAGTCTTGTAGAACTTGTCACACCAGTGTTCCAAGTTTAGAAACCAGTTAACAGAGCGATAGCCTTTGCTACTTGTAGACCTAAACAATCAGTGGGCTGTATACCCCCGAGGCTATGATACCTTCTCTTACTCTGACATTCCAGATTAAAAGGTAGAGGTTTGGGGGCGCCTGGGTGGCTAAGTCGGTTGAGCATCCAACTCTTGATTTCGGTTCAGGTCGTGATCCCAGGGTCATGGGCTCGAGTCCCAGGCTCTGTACTGAGCGTGGGGCCTGCTTAAGGTTCTGTCTCTTTCTTCCTCTACCTCTCTCCCCTGCTCACATGCTCCCGTGCGATCTCTCTCTCTCTTCCTAAAATCTTTTTTTTTTTTTTTAAAGGTAGTGGCTTTATAAGTACATACGAACTGGTGTATGTGTGTTTGTGCACATGCATGTATCAGTTTAAGATTTTAGGGTACTGTAGATAGTGTCCAAGTCCAACTTAGAAGAGTTAGATTTACCAGAAGAAAAGATTATTACATATATAAGGTAGTAAGTAAGTATAAGAGTCATTGCAGATTTTTACCTTTCTACTAGGTGGCCATAAACATTGGTTCTATCATTTATTGTCTCTCGTAGACCAGCTGCTTTCATTATAGTTTGCTTGCCTTCATTATAATTTGAACCTTTTTTTTTTTTTTTTGGCTTGCTTGCTTCACTTATCTTTCTCAATTATGTTCACTAGTAGCCAATCTTTTTTTTTCTTTTCCTAATATGATGGGTTGTGCCATGTAAAGAAAACTTCTGAAATTATTTATGTAATTTTAACATCAAGTACATGCATCAAGCTGAAAACTAGCCTAGGAAACTGACACATGAGCAGGAATCTTTTGCAGAGTCTCTGGATTTCCTGTTTTGAAAACACATTCAAACTTGATCAACCAAAAACCACAATGAATGTACTGATAGTTTCCTCTCCCACTAAATGTACTCTCCTTTAGGGAGGAAGATACTTCTAACAATAAACCTCAGACAGAAAAATCTGTCTGCTAAGTTGTGAGGTAGCAGGATGATAAATCTCAATATTTGAGAGTATTCCACAATTCAAGGACTGAAATTCACTTTGCTCAGCATTTTTTTTTTTTTTTCATGAAAAGTATCGCATTGGTCTATATTAGATTTCCTGGGCAGATTTTAAAATATTTAAGAACATAAACTTTCCAGAACTCTCAATTCCTTTCGAACATCATCTTTTATTTATTTTAGTAAAAATATCTTAAACCTTAGACTCCCTGCAGAACCTCTCTAGTACATGTTTGAAAATAATAAATTTATTTTGAAAATACTTCCAATTAAAAAGAATTTTCAATGTGCTATAAGTTGATTGAGTTTTATTTTATCTAGAGCATTCCAAAAGTGACTATAATAGAGAAGATCATCTACATTTATGACTGTGGGACATAGAGTGAAATTCCTATATGTCAACCCCACCCCGAGAGCCAGTGTTTTTCTTCCCCTTGTTTGGAGAGTCCCATCCCTCTCTAATTTGGCCCGAGCTTCTCAGATTTCATCCTGTGTCTGTGATGGAAACACATCAGGATGATATGAATCCTAGTAAATCAGAACAGGGTAGAGAGCTTCAAGGTATAATGTCCATGTGACATTGTGGCTCTTGATGTCTATATCACCACTGTTTACTTTTCAGTGTTTCATTTCTCAGGGCTGGGCTAAAGGTAACCTGATCAAATGATTAACTGCGGAATTAACTTTGAAGCTTGTTTCTAGCCTATATCAAGAATTCTATCACTGGGTCATAGATTCTAAAATGCTTTGAAGCATTTTAGAGCTTCAAAGGACCTTTGAGATCACATAGTTCAAAAGTAGAGTTAAGTTGGACTTGAATTTGTATTTCAAAAATCATAATTGTCGGGGCGCCTGGGTGGCGCAGTCGGTTAAGCGTCCGACTTCAGCCAGGTCACGATCTCGCGGTCCGTGAGTTCGAGCCCCGCGTCAGGCTCTGGGCTGATGGCTCGGAGCCTGGAGCCTGTTTCCGATTCTGTGTCTCCCTCTCTCTCTGCCCCTCCCCCGTTCATGCTCTGTCTCTTTCTGTCCCAAAAATAAATAAAAAACGTTGAAAAAAAATTAAAAAAAAAAAAAAAAAGAAAAAAAAATCATAATTGTCTCGTGAAACAAGTAGAACAGAGTGAGTGATTTTTAGTCTCTCTAAAGCAAGTTAAAGGAGAGAAACCAGTGTTAGAAAAGAAGCATTTTAGGAAATTGTTACATTTGAATCTAGTCCATTATGTTATAGAAGTTAAAGAATTTTTCATTTTTTTTTTTAATATATGAAATTTATTGTCAAATTGGTTTCCTAGAAGTTAAAGAATTTTCTTACGAAATACAAATTATTGTATTATTTGGTGACTGTTGTGCTGTTGTATGAGCCATTCATTTTTCTTACTAAGTCAAAGACCTAAATGGAAAAGAATGAATATCTTTAATATGAAAAGTAGTTGGAAAGATTCAGAGAATTGTTTATCCTAGGAAAAAAGTCTAACGGATCAAGAAAAATATACATATCTTTATACATTTTTCATATTTTGTCTTGAAGAAATATAAAAGCTCCTTATCTGTTCTGAAATTACCCTGGAAATGAGCTGAGTGTGAGTGAAGTGAGAAATTAGGCCCCAAGAAATTGATCTTTTAACATTTCAGAAGAGGTGGTTAAGTAATTTGATTTATGAAGTTATAGTAGACTAATGATTCCTTTCACACTTTACATTTATCACTCCACTAAGGGATATAGCTATGATACAGTTACTGATAATGTTGGCTTTGGGTTTTCTGTTTTTACTCAAACATATTTGTGAATGAGATTAAGAGACTTTTTTTTTTTTTTTTTTAAAGAGGTTTTTTTTATTCAGTTAACCTTTGTATAGCTTTGGGGAAATAGCCATTTAGTTGTTTTTCATCTAAGCCTCTGAAGTCAAGATGGAGTTATAAATGTTTAATCCCTTATATCGTTGATAATTAAATTTGTGGCACCTTGATAGTCACTATTAAATATTCTATTTCTTGATCCTGTATTATAGGTGAGGAAGTCTCATATGGTAGGTTTAATTTAAACGTGTGTTTCCACTTTGTTTTATTATCCACTAAGCTATTGTATTGATACAGTTCCTGGTAAGTATAAGTTTAAACTTAGAAATAGGATGGCTCTTAAATTTTCAGACTCAGTAGACTAAGTGTCAACAAGATATACCCATTTGTCTCTTGATGAAATGAGAAAGGGAAATCACCATTTATCACTTCCCTAAATTAACCAGTCCTACGGAGCAGCTTTGTTGACTGACCTGTCTCCTCTCCCTCAGTCCACCTGGAAGGCCGCTATAATGGAAGGATGTTTGATTGTAGAGATGTGGTATTCATCGTTGGGGAAGGAGAAGACCATGACATTCCAATTGGAATTGACAAAGCCCTGGAGAAAATGCAGCGGGAAGAACAGTGTATTTTATATCTTGGACCACGGTAAGCAGCATACCAGTTCAGTACATAGTGAAGTTATCTAAAGGACTGGGGTGTGTGTGTGTGTGTGTGTGTGTGTGTGTGTGTGTGTGTGGTGGTAGTGGTGTAAGAAAGTGGTCCACTTTCGGGACGCCTGGGTGGCCCAGTCATTTGAGTGTCCAACTTTGGCTCAGGTCATTATCTCATGTCTCTTGGGTTTGAGGCCCGCATCGGGCTCTGTGCTGACAGCTCAGAGCCTAGAGCCTGTTTTGGATTCTGTTTGCCTCTCTCTCTGCCCCTCGTCCACTCGCACTTTGTCTCTCTCTCTCAAATAAACATTAAAAAAAAAAAAAAGTGGTCCACTTTCATTCTTTTGCATGTAGCTGGTCAGTTTTCCCAGCACCATTTACTGAAGACTGTCTTTTCCCCATTATATATTCTTACATCCTTTGGCGTGGATTAATTGACCATATAAGTGTGGGTTTATTTCTGGGCTTTATATCTTGTTCCATTGATTTATGTGTCTGTTTTGTGCCAGTATCATACTGTTTTGCTTATCACAGTTTTGTAGTGTGTCTTGAAATCTTGGATTGTGATACCTCTAGCTTTGTTCTTCTTTCTCAGGGTTGCTTTGGTCGTGCAGGGTCTTCTGTGGGTCCACATTTTGTGTGTTCCAGTTCTGTAAAAATGCTATTGGTATTTTGATAGAGATTGCGTTGAATCTGTAGATTGCTTTGGGTTGTGTGGACATTTTAACAATATAATACCTGCAGTCCATAAGCATGATATATCTTTCCATTTGTGTCATCTTCGATTTCTTTCATCAGTGTTTTATATTTGTGACAACATGGATGGACCTAGGGGGCGTTACGCTAAGTGAAAGAAGGCAGACAGAAAGACAGATACCATATGATTTTACTTATACGTGAAATATAAAAAACAGAACAAATGAACAAACAAAACAGAGACAGAATCATAAATACGGAGAGCAAACTGGTGGTTGCCAGAGGGGTGGGAGGTTAGGTGAAAGAGGTGAAGGGGGAATTAACAGGTACAAACTTATGGTTACAAGTCACAGGGATGCAAAATACAGCATAGGGAATATAGTAAATAGTACTGTGCTAGTATTGTGTGATAATGGATGGTAACTGCACTTATGATGAGCTTAGTGTAACGTGTAGAATTGTCAAATCACTATGCTGTACACCTGAAACATCATAAGTCAACTATATTTTAATTAAAAAAAAAACAGGATACACTTGCTTTTTCAATCAATGTTTTAGTGTTTTCAGTGAAGTTCATGCTAACAGTGGTAACAATTGAATCAGGCTATATGATCATGGAGTGAATTAATGGACCTTGTAATATCAAAGATTTGCAAGGCTGTTTCCGTGATTGTTGTGTGTCAAGGATAGGACTGACAGGCAATTTTTGCTGTTTATTGGTTTGCCTGCCATATTGCCGAGACAGGAAGCTGTTGGCCCTTCTCATGTGATTCTCTTGCCCCCTCTTTCCTTTTCTCCAAATTAAGTGGGAGGCAGTAAAACATGTGAGGGGTGGAAGTAGAAGCATTTGGATGACTTATTACTACTTGAATTTGTGCCACCTGTTCTTATACAGAGTCCCTGGGGTGAAAAAAAAGTGTTCTTCCTGGATCTAAAGGCAGCGGAGATGACTCATTTTTGCCTAAATTTTTCCCATCATAAGGATATCCATTAGCACTTCCCAGCTTAGAACTATCAGACACTAACAGTCTCTCTTGTGAAAACATGTTTGGTATTATTTTTAGACCTAAAATTATACCACGAATGTAACCCTTCTATCTTGATAAATGGACCCTTGAGAGAAAGCAGGGTGTTTTGATTCTGTTTGCATGAAAGTGCATCAGCTTATCTCGAGTCTCCTCCCTCTTGGCTCCTTGGATTTCAGTCACTGGGATCTGGGGTTATTGACAATCCGAATGACCTGCACTTACCAGTAGGTAGAATTGTGCCTTTTATACGCCTGCTGGCCTTTGTGTAGCCTCAGTGCTAGCCCAGCAGCATATCCCCCCTTGCCCTAACTCTTGAGCCATAATCCTGTTTCCCGGGTGAGGTTCTGGCCATGCCTGCAAACGCTCTACACCTTGAACCCTTTTAGAACCTTCACGGAGACACCTTTCATTTAATACCTTCTTTTTCTGTATCGTTCTTTTTCCACTATTCTATTCCTACTTTAGTGTGTTTTACTTACATTTATTCTATATTTGTAGTTCACGCTTAGGTGAACTTATTTCTCTCATTCTATAAGGAAAATAGAGGAGGCTGTCTCCTCCATATCCAGGTAATATCTAATTATTTTTAATCTAGCATTCTAAAATTATCGTCCTAGACTCACATAAAGAGAATGGCGTTTATGCCCACTGTATGCTTTCAGATTTAAGCTCCCTGAGGATAATTCTGGGTACATGGAGGCATATAATAGTGTATGAATCAGTTTGTTACATTTTAACCTAGCTGACAAGACAATTTGGGGGGCAGATGTCTCAAGTTTAGTGGCAAAGAGAAACAAATTGTCCTTATATTTACTAATGCAAATGGTTCCTTGCACATTTAATTTTTTTTTTTTCAACGTTTATTTATTTTTGGGACAGAGAGAGACAGAGCATGAACGGGCGAGGGGCAGAGAGAGAGGGAGACACAGAATCGGAAACAGGCTCCAGGCTCTGAGCCATCAGCCCAGAGCCCGACGCGGGGCTCGAACTCACGGACCGCGAGATCGTGACCTGGCTGAAGTCGGACGCTTAACCGACTGCGCCACCCAGGCGCCCCTCCTTGCACATTTAAATTGTTTGTCGTATCATTAGTGGTTGAACCTTGCCATGCCCTGTGTCATCTAGGTCCACTTGTGCAAGTCACTTAACACTCCCCTTCTGTAAAACGGGGATAACCATATCTATTTCATAAAGTTGTGGAGGTCTAAATGAGGTAATGCATGTAAAGAACTTTGCAAAGTGCCTGACAAATGTAAACTCTCAGTATATTAGCTGTTACTGCTATTGTGGTGACTCTTTCTATGCTGTTTTACCCTCAAGACCACAAGGAAAAGGCGACGCTGTTTTTTGGGGTTTTTTTTAACGTTTTTATTTTTGAGACAGAGACAGAGCATGAATGGGGGAGGGGCAGAGAGAGAGGGAGACACAGAATCGGAAGCAGGCTCCAGGCTCTAAGCCATCAGCCCAGAGCCCATCGCAGGGCTCCAACTCACGGACTGCGAGATCGTGACCTGAGCTGAAGTCGGACGCTTAACCGACTGAGCCACCCAGGCGCCCCAAGGCAACCTGTTTTATAATAATTTTTTTTTCAACGTTTTTTATTTATTTTTGGGACAGAGAGAGACAGAGCATGAACGGGGGAGGGGCAGAGAGAGAGGGAGACACAGAATCGGAAGCAGGCTCCAGGCTCCAAGCCATCAGCCCAGAGCCTGACGCGGGGCTCGAACTCACGGACCGCGAGATCGTGACCTGGCTGAAGTCGGACTCTCAACCGACTGCGCCACCCAGGCGCCCCAGCGACCTGTTTTAACATAGGGTAGATTTTTCAAATCTTCAATCATAAAAGTAATCAAATTTTCATAAATGTCTAGGTCTAAAAGCTTTTTCATAGTTTTATGGAAATAATTTAGCGTAGTTAGAAAGGAACATGCTGTTTTCTGAGATGCTGGTTAGTATGTAGAGTCCCATGAGGTGCCCGCTCTGCAGAACAAGACCATCCACGCGTGCACTATGTAACGTTGCCCACGTACATAGCCAGTCTGCACGCACCAGGCATGTGCACACGGTGAGTGTCCTTGTCCAGATCCCCACTTACTGCAGAACACCGCGTCCCAGTGTTGCTGTAAATGTGGCTGCTGCACATACATGCTCCGTATTTCTTCTCTGTCCTCTGCGTGCCATTCTCCAGAAGACACTCAGGGCGCACCTCTCTCTGACTCTGATAGACTCCTTGGCAGGATGTTTTCACAGTAAATTCATAAAACACTTCCAAAGAACCCATTTTCTTTTCCTCAGTGGGACGGTATCTTTTATATTGTTTTTTTTGTTTTGTTTTGTTTTTTAACATTTTTATTTATTTTTGAGACAGAGAGAGACAGAGCATGAACAGGGGAGGGTCAGAGAGAGGGAGACACAGAATCTGAAACAGGCTCCAGGCTCTGAGCTGTCAGCACAGAGCCCGACGCGGGGCTCGAACTCACGGACTGTGAGATCATGACCTGAGCCGAAGTCGGCCGCTTAACCGACTGAGCCACCCAGGTGCCCCCCTTTATATTGTTTTTAATACTGACCGATGCTTCTTTTTCAATTGAAGTATGGCTAGTTCCAAATTTTCCCCTCCCTTTCCTTATGTTTCTGTCCTGCACCAACACCCGACAAAAACACAGGCTGCCAAGAGCCATAATGTTTAATTATGAGGCAGTCTGGGTTAAAAAATAAACAGTTTTCTGGGGACACATGGGGTCTGAATTGAAGTCCTGGCTCTGCTACTGCCTCTTTGTGTGACTGTCTGGAAGCATGTCTCTCTGCGCCTTAGTTTGTAAGCACTTAGGGTACAAGTGCTTCTTCTATGCCCATAAAGCCTTACTGGCCACTGGTAATCATTGTTTGTATCTCTGCTGTCTGCAACTGTTCATTCAAGAACATTACTACCAGATTCCTTCTGCTACTATAGCCCATCCTGTCCTTGGGTTAAGTCCTGGAATCCCACTTGTGGTGTTCTTTCAGTCAGAGGAAGATGTGTGCCCCGGGTCCTTCCTTGCCCAGGCCGATCTGGCATAAGTCAGACAGCTTTCTGTGTAACATGGAAGGTCGGGTTAGATGCTCCCAGAATAGTTTGGTGTGAGCCTAGGCCTCCCCGTGCTGGTGTTCTCCACATAAATCTTCACAGAACCTCTTCGTTTGAACCCAGGAGAGACTGCAGAAATAATACCCTCCTTCAGTTGTCTTTAATCCCATTGATAACTCAGGGCAGTTTGATGCCTTCCTTGACCCAACCCGCATCTCCCCCACCCCCAGCCTTGAGACTTCTGTCTGTGAGTTCCTCTAAGGCAGTTTGTCTCATCCTCAGCATGGCTGACATTTGGAGCCAGGTATTTCTCGGTTGTGGCGGCTGCTCTGTCATTCTAGGACATTCCACAGTGTCCCTGGCCTCTGCCCACTAGTAGTAGTCCCCTAGTTGTGGCAAACCCAAAACCTCTCGACACTGCCTGCTATCCCGGGGGGCGGGGGGGGAAGGGGGGGGAGGTTCAAATCACCCCTATTGAGAGCCACGGGTCTAGGGCAGGCGTCAGACTGTGCTGGGTGTGTACCCGTTTAGCATAGGGCTCAGCAAGCATGATCAGCAAGGACTCCCCCACCCACCTGTTTCCCAGCAAAGATTATTCCATTATTTACCAGATGGTAGAAACAAAATAGGAGATCTACGGGTCTAAGAGCTTGAAGTAGAGAACTAGTCACGACTACCTAAAATTGGCCACTGATAATTATGTCCTCTTTGATTTCTTAGCTGAAGATACCCTTTGCCCTGCTATTAAAACTACCACGCCCCATTCCTACCAGCTCTCTTTGTGTCTCTGTGCCTCTCTCTGGCTCCAGCTTTCATTTTCTTGTGTAATAGTGGAGGTGAGTAAGCATTTTCTTCCTGAAAAATTCAGGCAAGGGGTAAAGAAAATGATGTGAACAGCAAAATATGAGTGTTCCAACTCTAGTCTTTTTACCCCAGAGAAAATTAGAAGTATTAGCATCGACCTGGTTTTGGCATCTTTCAACCCATAGCCTGAAGGTTTGCAGTACAATTCCATATACTTAAGAGTAGTTTGGCTTGAGGGGCACCTGGGTGGCTTGGTCAGTTAAGCATCCAACCCTTGATTTCAGCTCAGGTCATGATCTCATGGTGCATGAGATTGGGCCCTGCGTCGAGCCCTTGCACTGACAGTGCGGAGCCTGGTTGGGATTCTCTCTTCGTCTCTCTCTCTCTGCCTCTGCCTGCTCTCTCTCAAAAATAAACATTTAAAAAAATAAATCTTAAAAAAAAAAAAAAAGAGTAGTTTGGCGTGAAACAGATGGGAACACAATATATCTCAGTGAACACTTTGATAATATGCCGTGCATTGTATGTACTAAATGCTGGGAAAACCGTTGGACCCGACAGACCAAACACCACCAGAACTTCCATTCTAGGATGTTCTTGAATGCTTTGGATGTGATCTCAAAATGAAACAGAAAACAATTTATATATCCTTATTTTCTTTAGTAAGTTTTGGCTAAAAGGTACAGTGTTTTCCAGTGTGATAGCCACAGAACTATGAGAGGATTTCTCCTAATGATGTGTTAGAGCTTGCTAGGCTGTTCCTTTTGATGATACATTTGTTATATCTTTTCTGTGTTCTGGTGTGCTTTTTAAATGTCTTGCAGAAACACTGGGAGGATGAATTTCCTTCCCGATGTGTGAGCCTTCCCCCCGTTTATCTGACTGGAAGTGCTACTGCCGGAAGGAGACCGCACTTTAAAGTGAAAAGCTTATTAAACATAGCCTCTGACGAGCAAGGTTGTAACAATTACAGTGCCTGTCTTCTCTGTCCTCCTGCTGATAAAGCTTCGGGGAAGAGTCCTGATGGCCAAACTATGGCTATTTTATAAAAAGAACTAGATATAAAATCCAGCAGAGAGAAAAAGGCAGTGACGTTTAAAATCCCATCAAGCAAGCTTCCCCAAGGAGCACAGGTGTTACATTACGTGTGATTGGGAAGGAGGAAAGAAAGCTAAATCGAGCCCGGTTTCTTCAACACGGCAGTGATACGCGGCACTGTAGCTTCTGGTCAACATCTGGTCTGTCTGCGGGGTCTGTGGTATGTGAAGTGTGCAGCCCCGTGCTAACGTGCTGCCTCAGAATACCAGAGGAAGTGCCTGGAAATACAGCAGTTTGTTTAAAGTTTTGTTGTTCTACTCTCCATTTCAGATATGGTTTTGGAGAGGCAGGGAAGCCTAAGTTTGGCATTGAGCCTAATGCTGAGCTGATATATGAAGTTACACTGAAGAGCTTCGAAAAGGTGAGAAAATACCAGCTTCTCCGAAGTCATGGTGGATGTTTTCTCCATGCGCTTTCTAGAAGTTACTTCTTCTGTCAGGTGGTGTGGATGGAGATGGCATTTATTCGCATGCGGTGCTTTTCGTGACTGAAGTTTGTCTCTGGTCTCAGACACGGCCCCGGGAGCGCCGATACCGCACGGCTCATCTACAGCTAAGGAGCTCAGTGTTCTGATTTTGTTCCTATGTGTCAGCCTTTTTTTTTTTTTTTTTTTTTTACTTTTTTTGGGTAGAATCCAAGACTTGTTCCCTTATTTGTTCCTAGACTTGTTCTTTTTGTACTTTTTTTCCTGGGTTGAAGACAAAAAGGTTCACATTCTGCCAAGCAGCTCCTTGGGGGCGTGGGGTGCAGTTCTCCAGTGCTGAACGGACCGTACCCTTCCCGGGAGTTGTGAAGAGGCCTTCACGTGGCTCCAAGTTGTAATCCAAAAGGCAAGGCTTTGTGGGCCCCCAGGCTGTGTGACAAGGGACACAAGAGACAAACCTGTTCACCCTGCAGCCTTCTCTTTTCCCACCTGTCCAAGTCTAAAAAAGAGAGGTTGTCCGTTGCCTTGGGTTCCGGAAACAGCGTGCCTCCTCGAACGTGTTTCTATCTCAGACCCACCTCTGGAGGCTTCCGGCAGCAGCCTCACCAGACGCACCCACCACATATGTCTGCACTAGCTACCGTGTCCGGCCAAGTCCCCTTTGCATCACCAAGGCCCCACTCTTCCCTGAAAGCCCCGAGAACTGCATTTCGTGTGCCCTTTTTATTCCCACAGTGCTGCCTCCGTGTTCTGTACGTTAAGCTGTGGACTGGAAATGTAACTGTTTATGTTTCATTAGACTCCAAAAGGAAACCATCGTCCCGGAGGGCTGTAACTTTGGACCTAGAAAGTCAGGGCAGACTGCTTTGGGATTCGCCCCCAACGGCGATGTTCCTGATCGTACCCCCCCCACCATGCCCCCACAACAAGCACATGCTCCTGTCGTGACCATCACTTGTTGTCAGGTCACTTCTCCTGAAGGCCTTCCAGCTCAGCACTGATCCTCCAAAACTGTCTTCATAGCACAAAGTTTTTTTATTATTAAAGAGAGAAAATAATCTTTAGCATGTGATTATATAGACCTTTGGCTTTCCTATTTCCATTTTAGTCAAGTAACCCACAGCCCCTTCCGATCCCCGGCTGTGTGGACATTGCTTGTCACGGAATATTCTCACTGTGTTGTGCTGTAACGAGCCCCTGCATGCTAACCGCTCCAGGAGCATGTTCCATGCAGCACTGCTGCGTATGCTTGAAACCACACGAGAGTGTGATGTTGTTGGAAAAAGCAACGGGATTTAGTTCTCTGCCTCGTAGTATTAAGAATACATTTATACTCCATAAAGACGGAACTCGGTATAAAAATGCAAAGAGCCCTTGTGACTAGAATTTTAAGTAAAAGAGCTAAGTTGTTAAAAACCACAAAAGACTTTAAGAGCTAAGTTGTTAAAAACCAGAAAGACTAGTAACTCTCGTTATTCACTTGGTGAGGTGGGTGGCAGCAGGAATACATCACTAATTGTTTTCTGAATAGAATTTTACAGTTACTCACTGAAGTTTCATAATTCCTATGTAGTCAGTAGCACTGACACAGCCTTTTTCCTTTTCCCTTTTAAAGGATCCCAGATTGTTCTGTTGACTCTTTATGGTCCCTTTAAATCTAGCTGTTCATAATGACAGTGCGGTTGTCCCTGGATTCATATCTCTAGTGGTGGAGAGCAATAATACACATAATACAAAATAGCAGATGGTCATAAAATCGTTGGTTTATGGCTTTGAAATATTTCTGCATCAGCTTTACCCTCCCTGCTATGTTTTCCTTCAGTCCCCCAGGTATACGTCTGCAAGTTGATACAGTTTGGAAGCTTTAGTTTATCTGCTGGTCCAAAGAGGTTTCAGAGTCGAAAGACAACTACGTGATCTGGAATTTTAAAAATTCTCTGTGAATATACAGCCGTGACTTGACTACCATAGTGTTCCCATTTTAGAGTCAATAGACAGAGGCTAGAGAGAAACAGTTTGCTGAAATTGTAATGGCAGTTTACTGGTGAAGTGTGCAGGAGGGAGAGGAGGGACGCCGGGTTTTGCTGTGTGTCCTCACCGGACAGCTCTGAAGATGCTCTTTAACAGCACACAACAGCCTAGCTTGCTCACTTGTATTTTTGTCTTGCTCCTCCTTAAGCAACATGGGTCACACTGCAGCTTAGTCATAATGGAAAGTGAGTTCTAACCCAGCGGTGAACTGGCAATAGCACGCAGTTTTAAAAGCCAGTGTGTTTTGAGGCATGGGTGTCCTAGAAGTAGCTGCTGTCTGTTCTTACAGGCATCAGCTGATACTTTTTCCTTCTCTCTTCATCTAACCGTTGTTACAAATTTACACAACAGGCCAAAGAATCCTGGGAGATGGACACCAAAGAAAAACTGGAGCAGGCTGCCATTGTCAAAGAGAAGGGAACTGTGTACTTCAAGGTGTGTGAGTCCTCGTATAATCTTTTCCATCTCAAAGAATTTATTGAAGTGTCAGTGAATTGTGCTGATAATCCCTACTCTGAATTCTGTCAGTACACTTCTGGGTAAGAATCAGCCTGAATTTTTACAAGTCTGTCATTTTCAGTGTAGAAATGGTGAGAAGGAATGAATTAATGTGACACAAGGAATACAGATGCCTCTTTCACACATCCTACCCTAGATTGTAACTCTCCATAAAGGCAGACCAGGTCTGGCTTGTCCACCCACCAGTGTATCACCCAGGACCTAAGGCATCTTGTTTGGGATGTAGTTGGCACTCAGTAAGTGTTTGTGGAATGAAGCAAAGAATGAATGGAATAATTGGTAGCAAGTGAGAATTCATAGAGATAAGTTCCCCATCATTTTCCTATCTACTACTCTCTTGGTGAAGCCGCTAAGGCATGTGACAAAAGGAAAGCGAAATTGCAGATTCCAGAAGAAACTGGCAGGAGGAGAATATTAATTTCTTCCAGTGGCCAGGATGATCCTGCCATTGGTTTTGTGAGGAATCTTGAGAAACTCCTGCATGATATTTGTTATCGGTTGCTTCTCCAAAGTCCATTCTTGTAATATCTAGGAATGTGTTACTTTCTCGCTTAGATCTTAAACCCCCAGATAAAAGAGAGAAAGAAACAGCACTTGATTCAGTTCTGACCAGAATGTTCTGCCCATTGCTTCACCGGCCCCAGCGAAGCATCTTCTCCACGTCAAGCAGAAAGTGAAAGAACGGAGTTTTTGTCAAGGTTTCTTCTTCTTCTTTCTTCTTTTTTTTCCTTTTTTTCATGGACTGCAGTCCATGAGCAAAAAAAGTAGATGATGTTTTCAACCGTCTAAAACGGTGATACATAAATGTACTTTAGCCAGTCTTACTGGAGCGGCTGCTCTAAGACATGCTGTTGCACAGACAACCTTGTCTGGAGGGAGGGGAAGCAAGGTTAACCCCAGTGAAACAACTACAGAATTATGTGAGACCGTGTATAATCAACACAGAATTCACACAGCCAGAGGGCAACACGTGCGCTCCTTGTTTTCCGTACTGTAAGAACAGACCCATTATTGGGTCATGGTCCCAATTTAGGGGAAGTGTATTGCATTAATGTAGTAAAGACAAATTTTGTATCATAAAATTTGTTGTGTGAGTGGATTCGGGATCATAACTGAAAACATATTTCTTGCTGTGGGTTATAGCTAAATAAATGTGAAATCTGTTGATTTAGGTAATATATAATTATTTGCATTAATTTATAGCCATTTATTAGATAGACTAAAATAACGTGTCAATCACCAGAAAGCATTGGGGAATGGTGGACTGAGCTCCAAATGGGGAAAGCCAGGCTTTATGGCTCAAAATGATTTAAAGGCGTTTAAGGTCCAAAGAGGTTATTTTCATGTGTGAAAAGTCATACATAGAGTTAGATTAGATGATCCCCAAGTTTGTTTCTAGCCCTAAAATTCTGTGAGTTTTGAAACTCTTGAGAGCAAGTTTGTTTTTTTTTAATTCTAATTGAAATATATTGGATACTTCTAAGCTATTCAAGTAAAATTCCACATGAGTAATTTGTAGACTCAAATACACAATACACTGGAATGAAATAATTTTTGTAAAATCCCTTGGGACCATAGGTCCTAAATGGTGTTTCCTGTGTACCTGGAGGTCTATAAAAGTCCTTATTGTATTTTTTATATTTCCTGCAGCTTCTAAATAGAATATTAATAGTTTGGGGATGGAGGAGTTGAAATTTTCGCCATGTTGAACAGAACTCTATCAACTCTGTGTAGTAATACAGCTCAGCTGTTCAGAAGCTCTAATTGGTTGCTGATGACTCAGAACTTTGGGGAACATTATTGGTGCTGAAATAATGTGGCAAAGCCATGTGTTGTATAGCTGTATCCTAAACATATACAGAGAGATGGCCAGAGTCAGTGATCGGTAGCAGAGAGCAGTGCTTCAGTGCCCGTACAGACTTAACTTTGTCACTTCTAGGCATCACAATTGCAGTAGTGGTTTGTGTATTTCATAATATTGTGAACCCTTTTAAAATTACTGATCTTTGGATAAAATCTGGATCAGCGGTCACACATATGGAACATATTATTTTTAACATGCAATTTGATAGACAAAATCTGTCAAAACATTAGTCTGTTGGGGGAAAATTAATGGAAGGTTCAGAACCACTGACCTAAGACTTTTCTCCCAGAATGTCTCTGAACATTTTGTACTACTAGAAACTTCCCTGGAGGCACCTTCATAATTATAGGTAAAAGATCCCAGCAGCGATCCTCGTTCTAGATGTAAGACTTCAGAATGGTAGGTAGTTTCCTGTACACACTCTCTTTTAAAATTTCAGGGCAGGTTTCAATCTGCCACACTGCCCTCCTGGGCCTCATCTTTCCAGAGTGTTTGACTTGGCACGTTGTGCACATGCACAGAGTCCAGATGTGTGGGTGAGAGCAGAGATGGGGTGAAATAAAAATCTACATTTTGTGCCATCTGGTACATTACGGCTCCATTTTTGTTGACCTCTTGGTTTGGTTTACACATCAGTGGGTAAATTTCTCCCCTTTGTGGAGTTGAACTGCACTCAGTTTTAAAATGGGAGTAATTTTGCTGTTTAGATTGTAAACCCCTCATATCAACTCCTGACCACTAAAGAAAGGCAGGAGAGGCTCTGGAATTAACAGATAACAGCATGCCATTGCGCAGGCCAATTAAACAGACATGATATTTGCCCTCATAGCTGAATAGGGTTCTGCAAGACCAGAGCATTAACTATCCTACTTGGTTTAGTGGTTCTCTTTTCTGACTTGGAGGCAGAGCGGCAAGTCTGAGGACACTGCAGTGATACGGGGTTCTTGCGCCCCCTTGTGCTCCTTCGGGGAAAAAAAGCATTTCTCAGGCAAGCTAGTTAAGGATTGACTGCTGAGCCCTTTTCAGACAAACCAGGCTTTGCTGTGTTTTGACTTTGCTGAACCAAAAAACCAACGCTGTGATTTATTAACAGGTCATCTAGAATTGTAGGGTTTTAAGTTAAAAAAAAAAAAAAAAACTCCTAAGAAGTCTCCACCCTCCCTTTCTTC